AATAACAGTGCTTAATGACACCCTTTGTTTTTATCTACAGTTTCAATTTTTTTTGTCATAAAAACAATATATGCTCCTGATTTTAAAAAAAATCAAAGTGCAGAAGAATATAATTTTTTAAAAGATGAAAAATTTGTTATGAAACTAAAATAATGTTACTGGTTAAAAATTCAAAGACAAATGTAATGTTAAAGAAAATGAAAGTCCCTCCCCTCCCTGGGGAGGGGTGGTGAAGTGATAGCTGTTAACAGTTTGCTGAGTCTTCTAGATCTTTTCTAAGTGCAAATAAACATATTAGGGTGAAATTGCTGACGTTTGGTTGTTTTGATACACTAAAATAGTGGTTTGATATGGTTCGACCTAATCTTTGCACACCTAGGTTTACAAACATTTTACCCTACAGCTTGCTTTTCTCACCTGCCAGTAATATTATGCATATCTTTCCATGTCTATTTATACAAATATAATAATAAAAATAGCTCACAACTTTTGTTAAGCGATGCACTACGCAGCAGGGGCTGTGCTAAGCTCTTCATTCTAAAAAGCCCTGTGGAGCAGGCTCCTTACTATCTTCACCAAGGAGACTAAGGCCTGGGAGCATCAGCCTGTCTCCGACTCTTCATATTACAAACAATGCTTCAGTGAACATTCTTGGACATTTTTCTGTTCCCATGAGCATCTGTGGGTTGGGTGACTAGAAATGCTGGGCTCATGCCCAATGTTAAGTTTGATAGATTCTTGCCCTCCAGAGAGACTATCGAGTTGCACCTCACCAGTAAGGCATTCGAGTCCCCATTTTTCCACAACCTCCTCAGACTTCATATTACCAGTCTTCTGCATCGATGTTAATTTGTTAGGTAAAATATCGCATTTTTGGCCTTTTGAGCTTTCTTTTGCTCGGCCCACTCCAAACTCTTTGGAGTGTACTTTCTCTTCTAGTAATGGCCCTTGAGCCATTCTCTACTGCTTGGGACCTCATCTGCTTCTTTAAAATGTATTTTGTCTTCTAATAAACTGTCCTTTTCTGCAACTTGAAAAAAAAATCACATTTTCTATACAGGAAGAGAACTAACCTTTGCTCTGTGCAAACCTAAGTCTGGCATTCCATATATCATCTCATGACATCCTCACAGCTCCTCTGCATGGCAGGTATCACCCTCTTTTTTATTGACAACAAAACTGAGGATCAGAGGGCAAAGGAGTTTATCTAAGGCTTCACAACTAGAAAGTAAAGGTCCCTGATCTACCATGTACCCCCACCCACCCCCACTGAAGTGGGGATGGACATTCAGGAAACGTCCTCATAGAGGTGCTTTAAGAGGCTTGAAGGAAGGTAAGAATATGGGTAGTTTGAAAAGAGGCCAGGAGGCAACAGGTGGAAATATGTAAAATTGGAACAACACCTGTCACTTTGGAAGTGGCTATTTATTTCTCTTGTGTTAGTCACCCTGGAGTGTAAGTGCTAAGCACTGAGCCAGTGGCCCTCTTAGAGTGAGGATTGGTATCCTATGATCATAGATGTATTACTCAGTTCTTTTCTGGAATAAGTGATAGAAACCAAACTCAAAATAACTTCAGGAAGATGCTTTTTATTGCCTTACATGACCAAAACTCCAAGCATAGCATTGGCTTCAGGCATGGCTGGATCTAGGTTCTCAAGTGATGACTCTATCCCTTGACTCTGCTTTTTCCATGGAAGGCTTTATTCTTAAGCAGGCACTTCCCACACAGGGACAAAGATTTCAGATGCATCTATCTTCTAACAACTTCACAATCCCATGGAAAGAGTATATATACCTCTTTTCCACTAGAGGAAGCAAAATTCCTAGGGCTGATTCTCACTGGCCCAGATTTGACCATATGCCCATCCTTGAACCAATCACTATGATTCCGATGTGCCCTCCCTTGCAGACTGGTGGGGCAGGGCTGAAAATGGTCAATACCGCAGATATTGAGAATGGAGGAGAGGTACTTCTTAAAGGAAAATCAAGTCTCCATTACCAAAATAAGGGAGGGGGGCAGAGTTTATCAAGAAGACACTTCAGATGTCCTCTAGAACAAGAGATGGCAAAACTAAAGATGGCATATGGGTAATTTGAAGAGTGTGGGAAAGAGGGTTGGGGTGGGGATCAGGGATGGCTGCCCACAGGGAAGTTAGGGAAAATAAAAACACTCACACTCTTGATGACCCCCCAACTTCTCACTTCACCAAGTTGAACTTGAGGCCCAGGGGAACATTGGGGAGAAGTGTCAATCCTTTCTCCCCCTCCTCTCACAAAAGGGAATAAAGAAATAAAGAGCTGACACACATGCCCTCTCCGAGATGTTGCCAGCTCCTGCCTTGGATGAACTGATTCCAAGGTTAACTGCTGGTGTTAGACTCAGCCCTTACACACAGCATTTATTGACTGCCTTTGGTATGCTGAAGAGGACATGGGCTCTGGGACATAAAGATGGACTGAGACCTTGTCTCCAGAGTTCAAAGTCTAGTTGGGAAAGGGGCGCAGGGTAAATCCAATAGGGAGGCAGCCTTCAAAGCAGGGCACACCGAGTCCCAACCTCAGCTCTGCCATTTAGTCTTCACCTCTCCGAGTCTCAGTATCTTTATCTGAAAATCAGTTATACTAATGTTTGTGTATCACGGTTATGGAGATTAGACACAGGCTATAGAACGCACCTCAGACACTGGCTGGCACATAGTATTTGTGCAATAGTGAATAATCATTCAGGCTTTCTGTGGTAAGTGCTATAACAGATCATCCCAAGGCAATTTTATTTTTTTCCTGATTTCCTTGTTCAGACTTCAACCTCTTTGTTCTAATATCATGAGCCTGTAAGCCAACTCGTATTTCCCCTCCACACCATCATGGCCGCCTTCCCTTCTAGGCCTTGTCTTCCACATCCCATGGACCATTCTTTTTTTTTTTTTTTAAATTGGGGAATTGGGGGAGGGGAAGAGCCAAGTTGTCCTTCAATCTTAGTTGTGGAGGGCACAGCAAGCTCAGCTCCAAGTCTAGTCACTCTGCTCAGCTCATGGTGCTGTGTTCAGTTAGTTGCGGGTGGGCATAGCCACCATCCCATGTGGGAGTTGAACTGGTAGCCTGTTAAGAGTGCATGCTCTATCCACTTAGCCACCTGGGCGGCAGCTCAGCTCAAGGTGCCGAGTTCAGTCTTTAGTTGCAGGAGGGCATAGCCCACCATGGAACAGGCAATCTTGTTGTTAAGAGCACATGCTCTCACCAGCTGAGTCATCCTGCCACCTGTTGGCAGCTCAGCGGCAGCTCAGCTCGGGCGCAGCTCACCAGCCCATGTGGGAATCGAACCAGCGACCCTGTTGCTCAGAGCTCGCAGTCCTAAGCAAGAACTTAACCAACTGAGCCACTCGGTCGGCCCCCATGGACCATTTTTCATGACCCCTCCTTTGAGCCCTCTCCAGCTCCCTCCCATCTTTCGAAGGGCAGTGATTGGAACTGCGCACAGCCTTCCCAGAGCGGATATACCTGGGTGGTGGGCACTCTGCAGCCTGAACACCGAGTCTTTGGTGGAAACAATGGTATATGTGGGGCTTCTGCCCGGGGACGACAGGCCGTCTCCCTGTAGACAGCCCAGCATCATAGGCAATCTGCGGAGTTGGGTTTGAATCCCAGGCTCACTGTGTGGGTCCTTGGGCAGGTTCCTGAATCCCTTGAGCCTCAGTGTCCTTGTCTGCAGAAAGAGGACACCCCTTCCTAATGAAGTGTCTAAGAGCATGGCTGCCTGGGTTTGAATCCCAGTTCTGCCAGCTCTGACCTTGGGTGAGTTACTTAATGTCTGAGGGTCTCGGGGATTTTTTTCATCTCTAAAATGGGGATATTATCAGTTATTATGGGGATATTATCAGTTAAATGAATTACATGTATAGTGCTTAGCTCAGTTCTTGGTGCATAGTAAGTATGTAAGTTTTAGTTTTTTGGCTTTGTTTTTAATTGAGGTATAACTAACATATAACACATTAGTTTCAGGTGTACAACATAATGATTCAATATTTGTATATACAGTAGACCCTTAAACAATATGGGTTTGAACTGCGCGGGTCCACTTACCCGCAGATTTTTTTCAATAAAGGTACAGTCAGCCCTCCCTATCCAGAGGTTTTATATCCACAGATTCAACCAACCTCAGATCAAAACAGTATTTTCAAACCATGGTTGGGGATGCACTGGTGTGGAGCGCCGACTGTATGCACTGTTCTCTGCCACTTCATATAAGGGACTTTAGCATCTGCAGCTTTGGGTATGAAGGGGTCCTGGAGCTAATCCCCCATAGATACTGAAGGACTACTAAGTTTGGGGGTATTCAAAAGTTATATGTGGGTTTTTTACTCTGTGGGGGTCAGCACCCCTAACCCCCTCGTTGTTCAAGGGTCAATTGTACTGGGAAATAATCACAATAAGTCTAGTGAAAATCTGTCACCATACATAGGTACAAAAAAAGGTTTTTACTTGTGATGAGAACTTTTAAGATCTATTCTTTTAGCAACTTTCAAATATGCACTACAGTATTCTTAACTATAGTTGCCATGCTATACATTAGATCCCATGACTTATATTATAACTAGAAGTGTGTACCTTTTGATTCCCTTCACCCATTTCTCCTACCCCCCCACCCCTGCCTCTGGTGACCACCAATCTGTTCTCTGAATCTATGAGGGTTTTTTGGTTTTGTTTTGCTTTTTATATTCCATATATAAGCAAGATTATTTATCTTTGTCTGACTTATTTATCTTTGTCTCAATTAGCATAATGCCCACAAGGTCCATCCATGTTGCTGCAAATGGCAATACCCTTCTTTTTAGGGCTGAATAATATTCCATTGTGTACATACATAAGTTTTCATTGAATGGAACAATGTGTGCAGAGGAGTTAGCCAGGATGGGGCTGGGGACAGACAGGGAGGTGGGGGCCGTCCTTTGGCCCAGTTGCGGTTGGCGTGCGGCAAGGCTAACTGCCACTCTGTCTCAGGTGCTGTCCCATAACCTGTACACGGTCCTGCACATCCCCCATGACCCCGTGGCTCTGGAGGAACACTTCCGAGATGATGACGATGGCCCCGTGTCTAGCCAGGGATACATGCCCTACCTCAACAAGTACATCCTGGACAAGGTGGGGCCCAGCATGGGGGAGGCACCTCTAGCCTCTCCCCACTTCCCAGCCCAGCCAGCACCCCAATACATTCAACTACCCCCACCAGCCTAAAAACTCCCATGTTTGTCCCCTCTGCACATCCCTGCTCGCCCATCTCCATCCTTCATAGCCCAGCCGCTTGCCCTTCGGTCCCCCTTAACTCACCTTCCGCCGCCCTCATCTCTGTCTTAGCCTCCACCCCTCCCATAACTTTCCACCACATCCCTGCCTAGCCCGTTTTCAGTTTCCAGCTGTCACCTTTACAGAGGGCTCTGCAGCTTCCCCCAAGTGCTGTCCCCACTGCTCCTCCCAGCTGTCACTGTCTTCCCAGTTTCTTCTTGACTGTCCCACTTCCCCCTGGGCTTCTTTTTCTTTCTCCCCTGGGCTGAAGGACTAGAGTTTCTCTGTTGGCAGGGGACTTGGGTGGGTGTGGCTGCGTGGGGTGGTGGTGGTGGGGTTGCAACCAGCTAGTTACCTAGTAATCAGCTCAGGGGTGCCTCAAGTTAGAGCCCAGACTTGGCAGGATGGGAAGCAGGGGAATAGGTGACCCCAAGAAACCAGCTAGAGCCTAGTTTGTGGGTACAGCAGAGATGGGGCAGCCTTCTTGGCTGACATGCAGGCCTGGTGGCAGGTGGAGGAGGGGGCTTTTGTTAAGGAGCACTTTGATGAGCTGTGCTGGACCCTGACGGCCAAGAAGAACTACCGGGTGGATAGCAACGGAAACAGCATGCTCTCCAATCAGGATGCCTTCCGCCTCTGGTGCCTCTTCAACTTCCTGTCTGAGGACAAGTACCCTCTGATCATGGTTCCTGATGAGGTGAGGGTGATGGCAGCCCCAGGGACTGAATCACCTGGGGCCAAATTGCCTTTGTACTTCTCAACATTCCCTTTCTTCCTTGTCTTCCCCGTCCACACCAGCTGTTTTCAGATGCCTAAACAGCCCATATCAGAGCAATTGTGCCTTCTCCCAGGAGAGCCAAAACTGCATTTGCTCAGGGCTCTGCTGGCCCTCGCAGTAGGAAAATTATCTGCAAATTCAGTTTACAGAGAGGTCTAAATGCCTGGTACATTGCTGAGTATTTAAAAACAAAACATTTAAGATCAAATGGCAGAATTTCAGGCACTGTGACAATCTGAGAAGGGTGCTACATGAAGGGAAGGGAGACCTTTCTGGGACGTCGCTCCAGTTACTCCAGGTGGGCAGCCATGTTTGGCCCTGGTTCCAAATTTCCTGTTCCTGTCTTCTACAATATAGGGGAGAGCCAGGCAGACTCAGCTTAGGTCCCCAGGGAGGGCACCCTGGGTAGAGAGGCCTAGAATCCCACCCCTCTCTCCTCAATCATGGGTGAAGCCCAGACAGGTGCCCCCCTTTCCCAGTCAACCTGCACCCCCCCCTCCTCTTCTTCACCCCTCTCCCCACCCATTCAGCCTTCTCCTGACCCTTTAGCCCTCTTTCTGTGAAGATGCCAGGGTGATTTTAGATCTTTAGATTAGGGTATACAGGGGCGGGGTCCTCTGCATTTACAAGAAGTACTGGCATGTCGAGCTGCACTCAGATTTGAATCCTTGCTTCTGTGTGTGGGGAGGGCGAGGGGAGCCACCTGAGCCCTGAACTGTTGTACCCCACTGCCAGCTGAGACCCAGTAGCCCCCAGAGTGAAAGTCCTGGAGAGAGTTCCCCAAGAAGCTGCTGGGGCAGGAGAGGGACATGTGTCCATCTCCACAGACACCTGGGTGGGCACCCTTGTCAGATCCCTGCCAGTCAGGGCAAGGTGGCCTCTCAGAAGGCTGCTTGCTGCTGTGACATGCAGAGTGAACAAAGTGCAGCAGGATGTACCCCAACCACCACTTCCTGTTCCTCTCTAACAAGTTTCCTGTCCCTGCCCTGCTTGCCCCCACCCCCAATCCCCTTGCCCTCCCATAAGGGAGGATCCCCAGCGATGGGGCTTGGAATAATGGCTCAAATGGGACTCAGGAGATCTGAATCAAGTTCTGGTTGCCACCAGCTTGCTGTGTGCTTTAGAACAAGATCCCCTGCTTGAGCCTCAGTTTTGTTATCTACAGAGTGAGGGTATTGGATGAGAGGGCACTCGCACCCCCTCTGATATTTTCTATGATTTGCTTCCTCTGCCTGGATCCCGGCCCTCAGCTCCCACCTTCACCCTGCCCTTAATTTAAGGCAGGAAAGAGTGGGACTGGAGGTTGGGAAAGAGGAGAGGGTGCCTGAATTGGGGTTGGGGCTTCAGGATCTCCTCCCAAATCTCTACCCTGGTATCCACCAGCGTTTAGTCTTCTGCTCTGGCCCCCAACCCCGAGCCCGTCACCTCTTCCCAAAATCTGGGCGCCGAGTAAGAGCGCCCCCTGGTGTTGGTATCGGCAACAGCCGGCTGTAGTCACCAGGCCTTCCGTCTTCCCCTCCAGGTGGAGTACCTGCTGAAGAAGGTGCTCAGCAGCATGAGTCTGGAGGTGGGCTTGGGCGAGCTAGAGGAGTTGCTGGCCCAGGAGGCCCAGGCCGCCCAGACCAGCGGGGGGCTCAGTGTTTGGCAGTTCCTAGAGCTCTTCAACTCCGGCCGCTGTCTGCGAGGCGTGGGGCGGGACACACTCAGCATGGCCATCCACGAGGTCTATCTGGAACTCATCCAAGATGTCCTGAAGCAGGTCAGGCCAAGCTGGGAACTCAGGGACGACCTCAAGGATGCGGGGGGCAGGGGGGTGGGGGGCGGGAAGCCTCTGACTTTGCTCTGGCTGGCAGGGCTACCTGTGGAAGCGAGGGCACCTGAGGAGGAACTGGTCAGAACGCTGGTTCCAGCTGCAGCCCAGCTGCCTCTGCTATTTTGGGAGTGAAGAGTGCAAGGAGAAAAGGGGTACTATCCCACTGGATGCGCAATGCTGTGTGGAGGTGAGGGGGACAGGTGAAGGGGTGGAGCCCATCTCAGGGCTCAGAAGGTCTCCCGTGTGGTGTGAGGGCAAGAGGGTCAGGGGGAGGGCAAATGGAGAAACGCCACAGAGGCAAATTTCTGCTTAGATGAGCATAACCCAAATACACCTGGGTACTTCAAGGCCATTCTTATCCATGTCAGGACTTAAAAAAAAACAAAAAAAAAACAAAACTGCAAATCAAACACTAAAGTCATTGGTGAATAATGTCTATTTTGCTAAAGATAGTAGAAGAGATGGCCTATGTCTCACGCTATACAGCAAAACTTTCTCAATATTTTCTTTAAAGATCTTTCTCCTTTACCCAAATTCCATTCCCTTTGGCAACTCTGTGCCTCCCTATTTTTTCTTTACACCCCTCTCCTCTCCCCTTTCCCCTCCCTTTTCCTTCCTTGGTTCTGTCCATTATTATTTTAGAAGCTCAAAACAACAACCTTTAAAATTGTAGTAAAAATATATGTCTAACATGAAATTTGCCATTTTAATGATTTTAAGTGTACAATTCAGTAGCATTGAGGACATTCACAATGTTGTGTAACCTCACCATGATCTATTTCCAAAACGTTTTCATCATCCCAAACAGAAACTCTGTACCCATTAAGCAATAACTCAACCCCCCCCTTTTTATTTGTCTTCATGAATTTGCTTATTCTAGGTAACTCCTATAAATGGAATCATACAATATTTGTTCTTTTGGGTCTGGCTTATTTCACGTAGCATCATGTTTTCAAGATTCATCCATGTAGTGGCATGAATCAGGACATCATCCCTTTTGGTGGCTAAATAATATTCCATTGTGTAGATATACCACATTTTGTTTGTCCATTCATTCATTGATGGACATTGGGTTGTTTCCATCTTTTTGCTGTTGTGAATAATGCTGTTATGAATATCCATGTACGAGTTTCTGGGTGGACATATGTTTCCATTTCTCTGGGTACATACCTAGAAGTAGAAATTGCTGGACCATATGGTAACTGTTTAACTTTTTGAGGAACAGCGAAACTATTTTCCAGGGTGGCCGCACTGTCTTACATTCTCACCAGCATGTATGAGGGTTCCAATTTTTCCACATCCTCACCAACATTTGTCATTTTACATTTAAAAAAATTGTTACAACCACCCTAGTTTCTGTCCATTTTTGTCAAATGAGGAAACAGGTGTGACTGTGGAAAGAGCACAGATCTAGGTAGAAATCCCAGCTCTACCACTGACAGGCAGTGCAAACAGGGCAAGTTCCTGGACCTCTTAGGGCCTCAGTTCTTTCTCTGTAAAGTGGAGCTTTATAGAGAATAATGGCTGCCTGGCAAGGTTGCCTGGGAGGAGTGAATAAAATGATGCATATAAAACACTAGTACTGACCCTAGAACACAAGAAACTCAATACGTGGTAGCTATTATTTTCCACTAGCATGCAGCTTAGGGAAGGCAGGGGTTTGGCCTGTTAGGCACACCTCAGTATCCCAAATGCCTAGAACAATGAGTGGCACTCAGCGGACACTCCCAAATATCTGTGAAATTAATGAATGAAGAACGTTCTCAACAGGCATAGCCGTGTGAAAAATGAATGCCCTGGATAGTGAGGACCCTGTCACTGAGTGGCGACTAGATCCTAGGCTCGGTGGAGAGATGCCAAGATGAAAACGTCCCCACCCCACCTTCAAAGAGCAAAGGCTACAAGAATTGTGGGGACACACTACCCCCATAACTAACCTCCATGCCGGGCCACGCAGGCTCCTGGCAGAATGGGAGGGGTGTCCAGGGAAAATGGTCAGCCATGAGGGGTAGGGGTCAGAGCTGGAGCACCCCTGGGGCGGGGCAGGTGTGGCCCTGACGCCAGTGAAGCCAGCTTGTCTGGGGCCACCTGTCCCCTCCCAGGTGCTGCCTGACAGAGAGGGGAAGCGCTGCATGTTCTGCGTGAAGACGGCTTCCCGCACCTACGAGATGAGCGCCTCAGACACGCGCCAGCGCCAGGAATGGACGGCTGGTGAGTGAGTGCTCACTGGGTGGCCTGGGTCTGGCTGGGCCTCAGTCGCCTCATCTGTGAAAAGGGGGTGATGACATTTTGCCCAGCGAGACGCTGGAGACTGGACTCGAGCGACTCCTAAAGCCCCTTTCCTGTCCCAGGCTAGCCCCCTACTAATCCCCTCCTGCTCCCTCCGCAGCCATCCAGACTGCGATCCGGCTGCAGGCCGAGGGGAAGATGTCGCTGCACAAGGACCTGAAGCAGAAGCGGCGCGAGCAGCGGGAGCAGCGGGAGCGGCGCAGGGCCGCCAAAGAGGAGGAGCTGCTACGGCTGCAGCAGTTGCAGGAGGAGAAGGAGCGGAAGCTGCAGGAGCTGGAGCTGCTGCAGGAGGCACAGCGGCAGGCCGAGCGCCTGCTGCAGGAGGAGGAGGAGCGGCGCCGGAGCCAGCACCGAGAGCTGCAGCAAACGCTGGAGGGCCAATTGCGCGAGGCGGAGCAGGTGGGGCCGGTCCCGGGAGCGCAGGCGAGGGCTGAGGGTGCGGCGAGGCGAGGCACCTGAGTTGAGGACCGGGAGGCGGGGCCTGGGGCGGAGCCTGGGCCGAGGGCGGATCCGGTGGGCTGAGGGGTGGTGGCTTGGGATAGAGCCCTTGAGCTTGAAAGATGGGTATGGGGCGGGGCCTGTGCCAGGGGCGAGGATTGTGGGATAAGTTAAGAGTGCTGGGTGCAGGAATCTGACGGAGGTATGGCGTGAGGGGAGAGATGGTATGGGGCGGGGCCCGAGTCAATGGATGCGTGCTGCGGCTGGAGCTGAGTGCTAGGAGTAAATTGGGGCCGGTTCGGAGACCTTGGCTGTAGGAGGGGCTTGTACTGAGTAAAGGCTAAAGACTACGTAATTAGGGATGAATTTGGATCAAGGTTGGAATAGGTTGGACTAGACTTAAATGCTGAATTTACGATGAAACCAGTTTGGGGGATGCAGGATGGGAGAAAGACAGGATGAACATGGAGGAGGACTAGGTGTGTAAGGCAATTAGATTTAGTATTTAAGAGATCTAGAACTGGAGTCAGGGACACATGGATTCGTTCCCAGCTCTCCCTCTTTAAGAGCCCAGTGATCTCAGGCAAGTTACTTAGCCTCTTTCTGTGCCTCAATTACCTATCAGTGACATGCTGATGCTAATAGAACTTTGCTCGTAGAGGTCTGTGGGGAGATCAAATGAGGAAACACTTAGTTGTTATAACAATTATAATTATAGTCACTCCCTTTCTATCACCAGCCTTAATTATAATTCATAATATACAATAATTATTAAGGCTGGTGCTAGGAAGGGGGTGACTTGAGCCCCTTTCTCCCATGTAGCACCTGTTCACTGATAATTATCTGACCTAGTCAGGCTCTCAGAAAGGGATCATCGGATCAGGAAACCCTGACATGAAGGAAGTCCCCAGACTCTCACCTGGACATAGCTAGTTGGGCCAGCCTAGCAGAACCCTGGGAAAACTGTCACCTCCCTCCCTTGTGCCCCCATTGACCTTGCTCTTCGTCCCTGCGCAGGCCCGGGCCTCCATGCAGGCTGAGATGGAGCTGAAGAAGGAGGAGGCTGCCCGGCAGCGGCAGCGCATCCAGGAGCTAGAGGAGATGCAGCAGAGGCTTCAGGAGGCTCTGCAACTGGAGGTGAAAGCTCGGCAGGACGAGGAGGCCGTGCGCCTAGCCCAGACCAGGTAAGACTGAGGGAACCCCTTCTGCTTTTCCTCCCTGACTCTCCCACCGTCCCACTTGGTGAGCACCGGCCGGGTGCCTTGGCTCTGGAGACAACACAGTGCACATCCCGCAGGCTGCTGGAGGAGGAAGAGGAGAAGCTGAAGCAGCTAATGCAGTTGAAGGAAGAACAGGAACGCTACATCGAGAGGGCACAGCAGGAGAAGCAGGAGCTGCAGCAGGAGATGGCGCTGCAGAGCCGCTCCCTGCAGCAGGCCCAGCAGCAGCTGGAGGAGGTGCGGCAGAACCGGCAGAGGGCCGATGAGGATGTGGAGGTGAGACTGGGGTGGGAGAGGATGGAGACTGGCAGAGTGACCAAAGTAATACTCAGGTGCCAGGGCCTTTCCTCAAACCCTGGCTCTGTCTTGTCTGGCTGTGTGACCTCCAGCAAATTGCCTAACCTTTCTGTATTTCAAGTCCCTCATCTGGGAGAGGGGAATGGTAATAGCATTGTTATGAAGACTAAATGAGAGAATATGTGATATTTAGTATGTAATAAGGGCCAAAGAAATATTAGCTGCTATTTTTATCATTATTGTTTATCTGGGCAAAATTTTTCCTCCTACTCTTCCAACCCTGTATTTTGCTAGCCCTGTATTTTGCATGCACTCCTTGGAGTCCAGATCTCTATAGAAGAGGGTTTTGGGTGTTTTTTTGTTTTGTTGTGTTTGTATTTTGTTTTTATTAATATTGTTTATTTTATTTTGCTTTGTTGGCTTACATGGTCATTGTAAAAAATTCAAACTTAGAAATATGTAGCATAGAAAGGGAAAGTTCCTCTATAATCCTCCCATCCCACTGCCAACAGCTGGGTGAACATTGGAGCAGATGTTTTTGCATTAGTTCCTGGAGAGGTGGTGTGGTGCAATGGTTTAGAGGCCAACGTGTTTCCCTGGGCAAGTCATTTAACCTTTTTGCACTTGTTATTAACTTCTGCTCTGGGGGTTAAATCAGACAATAAATATACTTGGCACATCTTAGCTGCTTAATAAATGGAAACTATAATTATGATTATTTTTGGCCCTTGGGGGGTGCCCTGAAATTACACACCAATTCTGTACATATACATAACTCTTTACAAACATACATGAGTTTTCCTGAGATGATCATAGCCTTTGTCAGATGCTAAGGGGCCTGTGAACCTGAAAAAGTCAAGACAGCCTGTCTTGGATAGTGACTCTGACGCACTCTTCACTGGCTCTGCCCCCACAGGCTGCCCAGCGGAAGTTGCGCCAGGCCAGTACCAACGTGAAACACTGGAATGTCCAGATGAACCGGCTCATGCATCCAATTGAGCCTGGAGGTGAGAAGGGGCAGACCCTGGAGCTTTCCCTGGCGTTAAGAGGGAGAAGGGAGGGCGAAAGGGATATATTCAGATCTACAGAACCAGCACAGGACTGAAGGTCAGGAGGGTCTCCTCTTTCCCAAGGGCCGAGGTAAGGCCCCCCAACCTTTCCCCTTTTCATGCACCTTTCTCTTGACTCATACCTGCCTTTTCTCCACCAGACAAGCGTCCCACCACCAGCAGCTCCTTCACAGGCTTCCAGCCCCCTCTACTTGCCCGCCGTGACTCCTCCCTAAAGCGCCTGACCCGTTGGGGATCCCAGGGCAACAGAACCCCCTCACCCAGCACCAGTGAGCAGGAGAAGTCCCTCAATGGTGAGGATGAGGCCCCTATCTTGGCTTCCACCCCTCAGGAAGATAAACTGGACCCAGAACCAGAAAATTAGCCTCTGCTTCCTGGGGCTGAGGCCCTCCAACTATGAAACAGTCCAGAATGGAACCTAGTTTATTTTTTGCATCGGCCCCAGGCCGCAGACTACTGAGGCTGTCTGGGATGTTTATTCTTGAGAACTTGACCCTGTGCCTTAACCCCAAGGACCCTACGTCCTGGGCTGGGAAAGAATAAACAAGCAAGCCAGGGGCCATCTGCCCCCAGACTGCCACCAAATTGTGGAGGAACATTTCCAAATAAAAACTGTTCTTGGAGTGAATCATTGATCAGGTCTGCTGTCGTCTCTCCTGCCATTTCTTCTCTTTCTTGCTCAAGTCCACTTAACAATCCCAGAAGGAATAATGTATACAGTGCAGTGGCTAGGAAAGTACACTCTGCCATTTACTAACTGGGTGACTTTGGTCAAGTTTCTGTACCTCTCTGTGCTTCAGTTCCCATGTTAGTAAAATAAAGATAATAATAGAACCTAGGGCCAGCCTAGTGGAGCATTGTTTAAGAGCTGGCTTGGGACGCCAGAGGGCCCTGGTTCGGATCCCACATATGAGGGCCAGTGACACTGCCCTCTACAGCTAACATGCTGAACAACAGCTCAACCTGGAGCTGGGCTGCCGTGAGTCGCCGGCAACGGTGTAGGCTGCAACCCCTGCTGCAGTGGGTTGCCATGGGCTACGGTGTGTAGCCAGCAGCCAGCGTGAGTGGCCAGCAGCCGCCATGAGTGGCTGTCCAGAAGCCAGCAACTGATCTGCCTCACCTGGGAAGAACGCAATGATGGTGCCAACTTGGGCCAGTGAAGCAACGTCTTCCACAACTAGACTGAAGACCAAAAAGACAGCAACTTGTCTGTTCCCCTTCCCCCAATTCCCCAATAAAAATCTTAAAAAAAAAAGAACCTAACTTATTGGGTTGTGGTGAGGATTAAGTGCTTGGCACATAAGCAAGCACTGTTATTAGTATCACCCAAAAGTTTTTATTAAACATCCATTCTATACCCTGTAATTTCCTAAATTATTTAATTCTGATGGCAGCCCTGAGAAGTAGGTATTATTATTCTCATTTTACATGTGGAGAAATTGAGGCTCAGAAAGGTCAGGTAACTTGTCCAAAGACTTCCAATCTTGCTTCTCTTCCCATATTATCTGAGTCTCTGACCTTGTTACCTAAGACAGAGATTTGGGAATCTGGGATGACTTGCTCCCTTCCTCTCATCCCCCTCATGCAAAACTCATCATCAAATCCAGTAGAGTCTCTCTCTTTCATACTCTCATATCTATCCCCCTTCTCTATCCCCATGGCTACTGCCATGGCTAAGGCCATTGTATCTCCCACCTGCATGCTTACCTTTGACTCCTTCTCCATCTTGCCCCATATCTAATCATTCTCCAAGTCCAATTGATTGGATTTTCTTGGTCACTCTCAAATCTACCCCCTTGGGGCCATGTCTCATGGCCACTGTCTCACTCTGGCCCCCATCACCTCCCAACTGGATGAGAGCAGTGACTGGGCCTCCTTGCTAACCCTTCTCCCCATGGCTGCCTGAACGGGCTTATCTGAAATGCAGATGTGTCCTTGACTCTTCCCACTTTCCTGTCTCTCTGTGGTAAGCTGGACAGTCAAGTTCACATTCTCATATATTCCCTGGGCATTCGAGGCCTGTGAAGATCTGAAGGACATTCTATGCCTCTGTTTTATAGATCTACTGGCAGCTCCCTCCATTTTTCTTACCTCTGGGCCTACACATGGGTGCTCTTTACACCTTACTTCACCAGCTTGAGTTCCTTGAGGGCAGGGCTTGGCTCTTAATAAGCATGCAACAGATGTTTCTTGAATGAATTCATGAATAAGTACATTCTAAAATGAATGACTGGGTGTCACCAGTTTAAAAAGAATAAAGTAAGATTCAAACTCAAGTCCATTAATTTATCCAACAAATTATTAAGCTCTTATTATATGGCAGGTATTGTGCTAGGTGTTGGCTATATGGCACAGAACAAAACAGATAGAGCCCCTGCCCTCCTAGAACGTATGTGCTGCTGTCTGATATCAAAGTTCATGTCGTTTGCAAGTACATCAAACTCTATTGCAAGGAACTTTATTATAATCTATTTAAAGTGTCATGAAACAAAGCTGCCAGTAAAACATGATGCATATTTCAGGAATGGGAAGTGAGGCTCAAACTCTAAGTGCGGTAGGAATTCAGAAAAAAAAGGAAGCATTAGGTAGGAACTGGAATTCGAGATGGCCCTTAAAACTTTTAATAAATAAGAAAGGAGAGTAGGGGGCGGTTAGAGTGCAGTGCTCATAACACCAAGGTTGCCGGTTTGATCCCCACATGGGCCACTGGCCTGCGCCTTCCACAACTGGATTGAAACAACTGCTTGACTTGGAGCTGATGGGTCCTGAAAAAACACACTGTTTTCCAATAAATAAAATAAAATAAAGATTTTTTAAAAAGGAGAGTAGAAGGGCCGGTCGAGAAAGAGTTTTAAGAAAATCAATTTGCAGATTCTCAACTTCCAAGTGTTCTCTTTACCAATACCGCTTTCATCCTTCACAATTTCACTGTTCCTACTTTCAATAGCAAGGTTCACCACTCACCCATCTACTATCTTTCAATGGTGGACTACCCAAAAGGGTACATTTCCTGGAACACTAAACAAAGCAACAATTTGAAATGCTAGTGTAGGACTGTGGGTGCTGAGAAAGTGAATGGCTGAAACACTGGACAACAAATTCTTTTTGTTTTCGAGTCAGGAGATTTCTCAATCTTTGCTTCCAAAGGACTTAACCACATTGTCAGCTGAAAAATCATTAACAGTATTTTTTTTTTATACAATAAATCTCTGGCTTTTTCTGGGCAAACAGCTCTGTTAGATGTCATTGCTATATCAAAACCCTCAATTCCCATCTTCTTATTATGTGAACAAGTTTTCTCAGCTTATAAATGAAAAAAAAAAACAGATCTGGAATTGATGCTGAATGAAGTCTCATTCTAACAACAAGTAATATTCAACTGTGAACATATGAACTACCTGGGGGGAAAAAGTAGCCCATGCATTTCATTAAGAAATACATTTCTGGGCCGGCCGAGTGGCGCAATGGTTAAGAACTGGCTTGGGACACCAGAGGGCCCCGGTTCGGATCCCACATATGAGGGCCAGTGACACTGCCCTCCACAGCTAAGATGCTGAACAACAGCTCAACCTGGAGCTGGGCTGCTGTGAGTCGCGGGCGACGGCGTAGGCTGCAGCCCCTGCTGCAGTGGGTTGCCATGGGCTACCGTATGTAGCCAGCAGCCAGCGTGAGCGGCCAGCAACCGACAGTGAGCGGCCGTCCAGAAGCCAGCGACTGATGTGCCTCGCCCGGGAAGAGCGCAGTGATGGTGCCAACTTGGGCCAGTGAAGCAACGTCTTCCACAACTAGACTGAAGAACCAAAAGACAGCAACTTGTCTGTTCCCCTTCCCCCAATTCCCCAATAAAATATCTTTAAAAAAAATTTAATTTCAACTTATATACATATTTTGGCTGCAAAGATGTATGATATGGTGATCAATAAAATTCTTTCAAGCATAAAAATATGTGACATTAAGATTAGATTGTTGAGGGGTAAGTGGAGTGGAAATAACAAGTACAAGGAGAAAAAGAGAAAAGTAAAATTTTTTATTGCTAAAGAAGGGCTTGTTCATGTATTTTTTTTAAATAAATTTTTATTGGGGAACAGTGTGTTTTTCCAGGACCCATCAACTCCAAATCAAGTAGTTGTCTTCAGTCTAGTTGTGGAGGGCGCAGCTCTGTGGCTCATGTGGGAATCGAACCGGCAACCTTGGTGTGATGAGCCTGTGCTCTAACCACCTGAGCTAAACAACCGCTCCTTGTTCATGTATTTTTAAGATGTATAATGGTGAGCATCAAATCACTACGGGATTTGAATCTTATTCAATATATTTTAAAAGGCAATATGGCAATTTTATATTAAAATGTCAATATTTATTAAATAGAAGTTACATCCTCTGCAACTATTGTTTCAAACTCATGATGAAAAATATTAGATGTCACTTTAAAAACGTGAAGGAGCTACACAGTTCTTATAAATTCGTTTAGGAGTAGAGGGGCAAAATTTTTTTAAAGATATTACTATGAAGGACCTGTAACTAGAAAAGAATGAGGCCTGATGATAGACATTCTTGGAAGCTAAGTAGAGTTTAGTGTTGATGTGGCAAGCCACCTCTAAGCCTCAGTTTCTTCACCTGTAAATGGGTCCATTCCAGGTTTTTGAATGTTCTATTGATGGGACACAAGGAGGCATAGATGAAGTTTGATATAGTGAAAGAAACATCACCCTGATGCCTGAATGCAATCCACATTGGGACTGGCAGGAAAAGCTGTCAGTCCATCTTGAGGACATTCCTAGGGGGCAGGAGAAGATATTTCCCAGTCTTTTAATTCCAGGATTAGAAAATAAGTCCTCTGTCCTTTCCAACAGCATGAACAAAACAGAGTGTTCATAATCTTCAATGTCTTCAGAGATACCGATAAACTGGGGTCCATGAAAAGCACAGCCATTGTAGTCCCAGGTCATCCGTCTGTGGCTTGTATGTGAGGAGGAATGACTGGCTGGAGAGCAAGAGGCTTGTTGCAAACTGTTGCTAGAATATGCAAGGTGCCTCCTCCTCATGCACAGTGTCTACTCAGCTGAAAGTTGCCTCTCTGGCCCCTGCTGTGGATGAGAGGAGGAGGAGGGATACCAAGGAGGCCCCCACCTGCTAGATGGAGCCTGAAATGGCTGTGGAGGAGGTCGGAATCTATTTCAAAGCCGATCTGGTCTTCTTACTGCATATTTTAAGTTATCGTTCAGTTATATTGTAATTGGGCATCAGAGCAGATTTTTGTCACTGAGGTCTCTGGTGGGTCTGGAAAGTGTTGCAAAGGCTTGGTAGGGACCAACTTTTCCCACTCTGAGCTGTGCCTATGAGCAAATCTAGTCAAAATGAAGATTCAGGGAAGCTGTGTTAGCCTGGGTTTGTGATTGAAGTAACAGAAACTGACAGATTTAAGTAAAAACGGAACTTATTCAGAGTATGTAATACTATAGTAAATAGTTGGGAGGATGAAAGGGCCAGCTTGGGGACTGTATAGTGAGGAATCCCAAATCATGGACACAACAGTTCTTATGTATGCTCTGCTTCCATGGCTAATATCACCCGCGCTAGATGGTGCTCTTACAACTGCTGCTTCTTACAACTGGAATTTGGGTAGAGCCG